CTTATGCTTCAAGACAACAGTAGACTTCGACGAAGGTGTGGAGATGACAATATATTTGCGATACGAGAAGTTATTCGGTTACTGTAGGAACTGTCTAAGCCTCTGCCATGACCAACAACGCTGCCCCCTGCGGACGGGAACGGATGAACGGAAACCTCAAGAAACCGGCCTTGAGATAGCAGATAGAAACCAGAGTGTGGCTTCGTACAAGACGGTCACAAAATATGGAGGGGGTGGAGGAAGAGACTCGGTGAAAAATGAGAGTGTGAATGCAGGTTTTAAAGGGAAGGGCAAAGCTCATAGAGAAGAAGCTGATCACAAGCTGAAAGGCAGATCGGAGAAGAAGACCGGTGATCACTCAATGGTCTTAACGAGACCATCAGGGTATATCCCTCCAAAGGCGCTACACAGGACATACAAAGCCAAAGCAGCTGGTAATAAAGGAGAAGAGGTTTATTATAATCAAAACCAGTGGATCTTATATTTTACCAGACTTTTAAAAACACAACCCATTTATACATTTTCTTTGGTATTTTATGAAGATCTATGCGTTTATCGGATTGCTAATTGGATCCATTTGGTTTTTCTGAATTCTTTAGTAAAAACACTCGGAACTTAATTATTACCTGACTTAAAATAAACGCGATCTGTTTTATTTGTCATTTTACTCTTTACAAGGTCCGCATCTCAATTCAACTTCTAATTGGATCCATTTTGGTTTTTCCTGATTTTTTCCCGTTTTCTGAACTACAACAATACCATATATATCATTGACTTTCGTTGACACTTTTTTTAAAAACATTTGTGACATTATTTGACATACTATTATCTGATTATATTAAACACACAAATTACGTATAATAGTAATAGGACCGGAATATGTTTAAAATAATATTCTCCTTACCTGAAATATATAAAACTTGAGAGTATATGCCACAATATAATTTCAAGTTGCATCTATTTATGTCAGTAAGGTATGACATGGACATTACACTAATTTTGAGAACTAATTCAAAATATTTCATTTGGAGTGACGGCGAATTCAAATTATAATATTCACGTATAAAGTGGAAATCTATCTATTTTTGTTATAGTAATTCAGATATGATATATTAGATATAGGAACTAATTTAACTATCTTACAAAAATAATCATGGTAGAATATGCTTCCGTCAATTTTTTTTTATGTTTATATTTTAAATTGATTTAGAATAAATCTACCATTCTAAATATCCTCTTAAATCTTTAAAATCATTCAAAATTTTGAAATTCCCACCTCTATAGTTTAATGGGAATCCAACGTCAATAAATAAAAAGATATACTTCCATTTTTGGAGAACTTTGTGGAGGAAGCTAGGTACAAAGCCCTTTTCTCCACTACTTGTCATCCTCAAACGGATGGACAAACTGAAGTGGTAAACCGTACTCTTTCCACTTTACTTTGAGCAGCCCTTGGGCGTTATATGAAAACTTGGCTAGATTGTATACCCTTTGTAGAATTTGCTTATAACCGCGTGAGGCGCTCAGCTACTAAGCTGTCACATTTCGAGGTTGTTTATGGTACTAACCCTTTGTCTCCAGTAGATTTAAGACCTATAGCACAGGTAGAACCAAAAAACTTAGACGGCCTACGAAGAGGCGAGTTGTTCAAGAAGCTTTATGAGACGGCTCGCGACAACATTGAGAAAAAGACCGATGGCTACAAGAAAGCCGCAGACAAAGGACAAAAGGAAGTCACCTTTGAACCAGGAGATTGGGTGTGGTTGCACATGAGGCCTGAAAGATTCCCTAATCAACGTGCCTCCAAGCTCGCACCAAGAGGAGACAGACCGTTCAAAGTCTTAAGCAAAATCAATGACAATGCCTACCGTCTTGATTTGCCAGGTGAGTTTAACATTTCTCACACTTTCAACGTTGCTGATCTGTCATATTTTGATGCAGCTGAAGAAGTTTTGGGGTCAAAACCTTTTGAAAAGGGAGGGAATGATGTGGACATCGACCCTACCGACCCATCAAACATCGAGAGACACATGCCGGAGGTCCAAGACGGGGCCATGACTCGGTCCAAGATCAAACAAATGAGGAATAAATACAGGAAGGCGCTACACGTCATTATAAACTCACTGGACCCAAACAACCCCCTGTTACCAGATCTACAAGTCATACATGGTTTAAACGACCTTTGCGGCCAAATCGGGCCCGAGAACATGACTCAAGGAGAAGTCACACCAGACCATCGATTCCCACAAGGCCAATGTAACATCTCTCGACCAACTTTTCATTTAAAAGCTAACAGTCCGAGCAGAATTCCTTTTACAGGCTTAAAACTTGAAGAAATCGGAGATAGCCCAAAAATAGCCGATGCGCGAGAATTTTTAGCCGATACACGAGAACTTTAATCCGAGAAAATGGAGCCTCAACGGCTAGACCACCCTGACGACAAAATCGACCGTCTTGGAGCTGACATTCCTCGACCAAAATCATCCCCTGAAGCCAACGCTCGAGAAAGAATTGAATTCCAACGAGCAGAACAGGAGATTGCCGATGCCACACTCGTTTTAGCCGAGAAATGCCATGCAACACAGGCCGAGCCACCAGACGACCTAGAAATGACCAACAAAGGTAATTTCTCTCAACCAAGTGCATATTATAAGACTAATGCACGTGGAATTCTCGCAGGCGAACGTGCAGAATTGGAGTTGCTTCACAACACACCAAGTGGACGCGATGACGAGCTAACCGAGGCCGAGCGACTAGCCATACAAGAAGCGACGGTCATAGAGCTTAAGGGACATGAAGATCAAGATTCTCCGGGACTAGAAGACGCCTCAAGCGACCCAAGCCACAGCAGGCCAAGGCAGGACACTTCAATGAACGACGAGGCCGCACACGACACCAACGAGCCGCGCCACCCAAAGTAAGTATTTCAATTATTTCATTGTGCTTACAGGAGGAGCCAACATCTCCATCGACTAAGTGTCAGAGTTAAACGACTCAAGTCATGTAGTTTAAGTCTTTTATTTTAAACTTTCCATTTCTGTAATAAATGAAACGATGAGCTTTGTTTCTTAGACTAGGTTTGTTTTCTTTGAGTTTTATTTACTTAGTCCTGTCGTTTTGAGTCCAGAGTCGAACCCTAGAAGGTTCAAGCTGACGAACCAGTTTATAAGGTTCCTTTGCAGCATTGTAGTCCGCAGACTTTTTCCCATATCAATAAAATATCGAACTTTCTTCAAAGTTTACCCAAGAAGCGATTTCTCTTTGTTCTTGGTTTGTTTGTGCGATTCAAGCAAGCTTTGAGCCTTCACCGTATCAGAGACTCACCATCATTCTGTGTTGTGAACTCACGCCGCCATCACACCCCGTTTAGATCCCACACGAGGGGGCGACCGCGTGTGTGTCAGATCATTCCATCATCGACCATTAACCGAGCTAAGGAGAGGGCGACCGCCTATCTTAGTTCCCACCCGTATCCTCAGTGTGAGAGCCACCACCGGTTCTTACATCATTTTGGTATCAGAGCCGAAGTGCCTGCTTCGGTTTTCTTACCCTTATCTTTTGTTATTTTCTGTTATTCCGTATTCATTAGGTTGTTTAGATCGGTTGAAGTTTAATAAGAAAAAAATAAAATATAGTTAGGGTTGTTAGTTAAGCGTTAATTGTTTTCGTTTATTTAGAAGTCAAAATATATATATATATATATAAATATATATCATAGTCTTATTTCATATCCTTGTATACCCGTTTTCATTCAAAACTAGAAAAGAACAAAAGAATTATATTAGAGTTTCAGTTCCTTTAGTGTTATCTACTCGTCTCACACTTAATACTTTGACAAGTCGTTGTTTTTGGTGAGCTTACAAGGAACCGTGTTTTAAAACCATGGGAGACAACAGTGACATTACCAACAACGCCGCACCAGCTCATGCCAATGGACAGCAACATAATGAGCTCATGGCAATGCTTGCCACCATGAGAGAGGAGCTGCGAGACACTCATGAGCGTGTTGCGCGTCTTGAGCCACAACAACCGAGGACTCTCAACACAGAACTTCCACCAGCTCGGAGGAATGTGTGAGCCAACCTAGAGCATAACCCTGAGGACTCGGAGACGGACAGCATGCCGGAACTAGAGGAGGATCAACCTCCTGATCCTTTGAATCGGCATCACCAGAGGAGACAAGACCCTTTGCTCAGAAACAGGCCAAGAGAACAAGAGCGTAGGGAAGTTAACAATGACATGAAAATAACTCCTCCCACTTTTGCAGGCAAATCAAACCCTGAGATCTATTTAGATTGGGAGAGGCGCTTGGAGTATATCTTCGAGTATTACGATTATGGAGAGCTCAAGAAGGTCGCGTTAGCTGCGGCTCAGCTCACCGACAATGCATTGGCATGGTGGGATCGCACCGTATTCAAACGACAGGAGGCGACAAGTCTTTGGCCCAATTCAAACGTGGCACGACATGAAATACCTACTGCGGTTGAGGTATGTGCCCGAACATTATCATAGGGACTTACAAAAACATTTTCGTAAGTTGACACAGGGCTCAAGGAGTGTTGAGGAGTATTTCGAAGAGTTCGAGAAACTCATGAACTCTTTGGAGTTAGAAGAGTCCGAGGAGGCTCTCATGGCTCAGTTCGTTGATGGCCTTCAAGAGAGAATAACTCGGAAGGTGGAACGAATTAAGTATAGTGGCTTACATGAGCTACTACATCTTTCGGTGCAAGTGGAGCAACAAAATCAAGAGAAAATCAACTCTCTCAAACCGAGGCCGAAACAATCAGCCTTGGAAAGCCAGCACCAGCAAACCCCTAGACAAAGGCAAAGCTATAGAAATTGAGTCTCGATTCAAAGGCAAACCCACTGAGCCTCCAAAATTAAACAAACCGGAACAAGGTAAGTTTCAAAACACTAGTCAAGCTAGAACCCGAGACATTGTTTGTTTCAAATGTCAGGGATGAGGTCACTATCAGCGAGACTGCCCCAACCAACGGGTCATGATCGTTACCCCGAGTGGATATGAATCTCAAGATGAAGTCGAGATGGAGGTAAACAGCAAGGAGGAAGATGTAGAGTACCCCGACACCGGAGAGTATCTACTGGTGACCCGGAGGGTCCTGAGCGTTCAGGTGCAACCTGAAGAGACGGTCCAACGAGAGAATTTGTTCCACACGCGTTGTACAATCAAGAACAAGGTATGTAATCTAGTTATAGATGGTGGATCTTGTACTAACGTGGCTAGTAAGTTCATGGTGGACAGACTAGGTCTTGAATAGACAAAGCACCCACGGCCCTACAAGCTACAATGGCTTAATGATGCCACAGAGCTCAAGGTAACCGAGCAAGTCACCGTACCGTTCAGTGTTGGTAAGTACCGAGATAAGGTGCTATGTGATGTGGTGCCAATGCAAGCCGGACATCTGTTACTAGGCCGACCTTGGCAATTTGACAAGGCCACCCTACACAACGGCCGAACCTATTACTATAGCTTCACACATATGGACCGTAAGTTCAACTTAGCACCCTTAAGTCCATCTGAAGTTCACGAGCTTCAAAGTAAGATGGCTCAAGAGTCTAAGTCCTCTAAGTCTAGTTTATATATTACTTATGGAGGATTAAACCGTGCTTTAAGTGCCAATGACACTATATTACTAATGTTTTACAAAGAATGTCTAAGCGCAGAATCAACAGATATGGAAATCCCACCAGAGGTCAGCGCCTTATTAGACAGGTACAAAGACATGTTCCCTGAAGAGATCCCTCCTGGCCTCCTACCTCTGCGAGGCATAGAGCACCAGATTGATCTTGTTCCCGGATCAGCGCTTCCCAACAAGGCCGCTTATCGCATGAACCCGCAAGAAACAAAGGAGTTGGAGAGACAAGTGCAAGAACTCATGGACAAGGGGTACATCAGGGAATCACTTAGCCCATGTGCTGTCCCTGTTCTACTGGTCCCCAAGAAAGATGGCAGCTGGAGGATGTGCGTTGATTGTCGAGCCATCAACAACATAACCATCAAGTATCACCATCCGATCCCACGTTTAGACGACATGCTTGACGAGTTAAGATGAGCCACTATCTTCTCCAAGATAGATTTAAAGAGTGGATATCACCAAATGAGGATGAAGGAAGGAGATGAGTGGAAGACGGCCTTCAAAACCAAGCAAGGCCTATACAAATGGTTGGTGATGCCATTCGGCCTCACAAACGCACCGAGCACCTTTATGAGGCTCATGAACCAGGTTCTACGGCCTTATATTAGTAAATTTGTTGTTGTCTACTTTGACGATATGATGTGTCGTATCAACTGTGTGAGGGAACAAGTTTTACCCTTAACAAAACAAAAGAAAGCTGGAAGTGCACAGCTAATCAGTTCTAGTATTTAGGGATCGAATCCACAGAGATTTGTGTGCCTGGTATTCTTCTACGGTTTTTAACTTTATGTCTAGACTAAATTGGTTTTAAAGGTTGGTTGTTTTTCTCGAATTAAACTAAAGCAAAAGAAAGCAAATAAATCTATCCTAAAAAGCAAGTAAAGAAAATCGAATGGAATGCAAATGGAATAAGTAAAATATCGAACTAAACAAATATTTGGCAAGTAAAATATCGCATGAAAGGTAAATAAAGCAAGTAAATAACGAACTAAGGAAATTGAAATGCAGGTCTAAGAAAACAAGTAAAAATCGATGGAATTGTAAACTATGGCTAAAAACGCTGAGCTTTTGGGAACTCTTAAGGGATCATAATCGGTTTTAACACTAAGGTAGATAGATTGGGATTGACAGATAACGATATATGGGTTCAAGAGCTAGAGTACGGCGGTATGACTACGTCACTGTCGTGATCATAACCAACTGTTTCTCGCAACCCTGACCAGTAGGTTTCCACTCTGGCCCTGGAAGGGAGAGAACGCAAGAGCTGCACAAGACTCGTCAATACTCACGATCTCGCCGCAGGTAGGTTTCCACTCCTACGGAAAATACGCCTGTTTCATTCTAGGGCTGATACTTAATGATAACTTTTGCAACACTAACTATCTAGATCAGATACTAGGTGATCAATCAAGCATACATGCAATAAGAACAAGAATAAACAGAGAATAGTTCGAAATCCCAGATCTATAAACCTAGATGTCTTAATCGATTATGAGCCCCTTTCGGGAACCCTAAGCCCAACTCGGGATCTACTCAGACATGGCTGAGTTCGACATCATCATTGGTTTTAATAAAAGTAATGAAAAACGGTAAAGAAAAGAGATAAAGAAAGCTTCTCTATTGAAGAACTCGGACTTGAACAATCTTCTACAAAAATCTCATAAAAACGGCTAAAGGAAAAGGGTTTCTGTAAAGTATGAAGGGTTCCCCCTAAAAACGAACTAAATGACATGTATTTATAGTCTCCAATACTCCATGGTCTCTAGGGTTCCGGAATTGAGGCTGAGAATGACTTTGAGCTTCAGAGAAGTGGGCTTTAACTCGGAGATTGATTGCCGCGGTCGGGAGTGTTGTGACCGCGGCAATTGGCTTGTTGGCCGCGGTCAGGAAGCTTCTGACCACGGCAAATAGCTTGTTGGCCGTGGTCGGGTGAGTTGCTGACCGACTTCGAATGGCTCCGGGGCTAATGAAATATCTTGAGATCCAACCGTTGGAATGTCTCCAAACCAAGTGCATTTGAAAGCTGGTTGATTCTTCTATAAGTTGTCCAATTTTGAGGGTGACCAGACGGTGAAAAGGTCTTCGTCTCTTCATGAGAGTTCTGACGGTCTGCATTTATCCAAAAGAGTCTTTTTGTTCCATTTTGTGCCTCTTTATCCCAAATTACCTGAAAAGTCTTTTAAAATCCGGAAACATAGAAATCCTTTGAAAACCTTTGAAAATGGAGTAAAAACACCTGTAAAAGATATTAAAATGATCCATAAAAATGGTCAAAATCTGGTGTTATCAACTCCTCCAGACTTAGTCTTTTGTTTGTCCTCAAACAAAACAAAGGCTAAATCTCGGCGAGAGGTTTGAAAACGCAGGAACTAAACAAAATCTCAGAGACCAAACTTCTAGACCCATATCAATCAGTATGCATCAATCGGGAATAGCCTAGAAAATTCTCACTAGCAATACAGGCATAACTAGTCCGTTAATCCGTCATGCAGAAATCTATGCACTAGGATCTAACTTCCAGTCAACTAGCTCTTAACATTCATTAAAAATCTCGGTGGTTCTCATCAAAGAAAATCTAGGCAAGGCGATCTAGGCTAGGTGTCAAGAACGATTATTTTGGGGGGTAAGGTTTAAAGTGTTTACGGGTTACCTGAAGATCTGGAGGATGCAGGATATTATGCAAAACCGCAAGAGAGAGTGAAGCTGTTGGTATCCACAGTTTTCAGTCACTTTCTTCTTGACATAGATTCATGGTCTTCTTCCTCAAGTTCTCTCCAAACTCCCCCAGACTTAGATTTTTGTAAATCTTTCAAAACAATATCTCCTTAAACGAATAGTGGTTGCTCATTGCTCCAAAAATTTTGACAATCTAAGACTCATTAGGCTTTTTGTTTCCCTTTCTCTTTTCACGTTTTTTTTTTTTTTTAAAGAAAGGGAACATCTTTAGATATAGAGTCTTAGAGAGTACGAATTTACCAGTTAATATCTGTCTTGTAAAGCTTTATTATGTTTCTGATACTCTTCCTTCCCAATTCCATTCAGTCTCCTTTGTGAGTGACTGAAAACTGCGTCGCTCCTCTTCTCTCCGACGTTTTTGCACATATCTGCTGATATAAACTAAAGAGAGAATGCATGAGGATTGAAAACAAGGGTTTTGGGTTTAGGGTATGGTACCAGATAAAGATAAACTGGTCATCTAGGACGACAAATAGTGGTAAAAGTGATGGTAAAAGACGTCCTAGATGTGTATGTCGATGCCTGCCTAAAATCAATGATGAGAAAATTAGATATCAATATTAAGTCCAAATAAAACGAGCTAGTATATCCTGTCAGAAAGAATCTCCATGAATAGAAGTACTCTGGTGGGAGTTCGTAGTGCAAGTACTCTAGCTACCGCCTAGTCTAGTGATAACCACAAATGAGCTATCATGCATAGTGTAGAAGTGTGCAGGTCTAAATCATCATAGTTTTGCGTCAAACATTCTTGAAAAATACTTAATGTCGAGTAGGTTACATATTAAAATTTAAAAAGTACTTGAATTTAAAAGCAAAGCAGGGAAATGATTAGTACGGATAGACATCTTCCCCCAGACTTAAATCACACTGTCCCCAATATGAAAAAGTTGGTGAGAAGATGGTGAATGAAAGCAAAATAAAATAAAATAAGATAAAAGAAAAGAAAATGATGATAGAACCGTGATGGTAGTGAAGTGCTGATCAATCACTCATCCTCCGAAGTGTCGTCTGTGAAATGGTGCTGCTCCTGTAAGAAGGTGACAACGCGCTCAAAGCGTCGTCCCTGTCTCTCAACTCTGCGCTCGAGATCGGAATGAGTGTGTGATATGTAGATGATGAGGTGTGACAAGTCGAAATAGATGGCTGAAAATGATCACAGGCTGCAGCTGCATCACGCTTCGCCTTGGCCACTATGTATTGGCCAATGGTGAATGGTAGACGAGGTACAGATGGCAGAAAATCATCGGATACCGGAGTCCATCGTGGGCGTCCTCCGTTGCACAATCTCGGGATAGATGCTGAAGGTAAGTGGACTCGATGCTCCTCGGTTCCAGTGCAATACTTGTAACCAAACCTGTCTGGATCGAAAGCGGCACGAGAGATAGTGTGATCGCGAGAGAGATAAAGTAGATCATACCAGACATCGGGAAGTGGATCATCAGATGAGAAATCAAATCCTACAGCCTGTAGTATCGCTGTAATAGCACTCCCGAAAGCTGGAGTAACGTCCTCGCAACCATGTAAATCATGCTTCACCTTCACCATATTCTGCGCTATGATCCATGCGAAGCAGGCAAGTCGTGGATCATCCATAAACGGAATCTGAAGTGTGATGAGCTCAGTCTTCAAAACACTTCCCATGTTGGCTCTAGAGAAGATCGTGTGTGCTAAGAGTTTGTGCACAACTCTCACTGCTGGGTGGCTAAGAAGGGCAGACTTCGATCTCCCACTATCATAGGTTCCATGACCCATCTCTCTCCACAGGTTAAGATCAGGTTCATCTTCAAGGTAAATGCCATCAGTGTATGGAAGCTTAAGAGCTTCACAAACCTCGGAAATGGTGAGAGAATAAGGCTGTCCGCGGATAGAGAATGACAAGATGCCGTCTGATGTTCTGGGGTTCCTCCTCTTCGTGTGGTGGAGTGTATGGTCGCTAAAAGCTCACGAACTAGCTCAGGATAAGTCGGAAGGTTCAGCTCCATGTAGGGTCTCCGCTTAAGTACATCGATGTACCAGATCACATCCTCTCTGATTCCAAGCATCTCGAGTGTATGATAATCAATGCAAGGCGTGGGTTTGATGTTCAGCTTCTTGAAACGCCTTGCATAGTCCACTCTCGGGTTTGTCTCTCTCCCAATGTATCGAATCTGTGGTGGCTCGGGAGGTGTTCGTGTTTCTCTTGAGTGCTGGAGCAATCTCATCACATAGCTTCTTCTTCTCGGTCTGGCTTGGTTCAGCATGTACTCTCCTAGAGTAGCATCATCGGGAATGTCCTCGGAGCTGCCACCAGTTCGACGGCTCCTTCGGGATCTGGTTTCGTCCATTTTCTGCAAAATGAAATGATTCTTGGAAAAAGAGTGAATATGGATGCTGATTTTAACACATTAAGATTTGTTACACCAATACTAGCATAAAAAGATTAATTAAAACCATGAGCAAGCAAAATTGATATTGAATCAGAGAAATCAAGTAGTTCATGACTAAATTCGGATTTTTGATGTTCTTAACATAGAAATCTTCTAAAAATCGGTTTTGATGAGAAATTTCCATGTAAATTCTAAAGATTACCCAATACTAATCACTAATCACACAAGACTAAATCAAATTCATCAATTTTGCTGTTCCAAATTTGATTTTTATTAAGCATGTAGAATCCAAATTTCAAAAATCTCAATTTCTCT